TTTGGTATTTCTTCATATATATGAAAATAAAACAATATTTTCTCATATTTTTTTTATAAAGAAATCAAAAACTTTATGATTTGAATAATATAATAAAAGATAAATTTTGAAGTAAGCAACCACATCATGCAGACTTAAATAATTTATTATTTTACAACTTGATTTTATGATTTTACAGTCATTAATAATGCATCACATAAGCAAATTTGACAATTGGATTCCCATGCACGAGTTGCAGACTCATTTCAGATCTAACGTCTCATTATGTCAGACAAAAGCGCCAAACAGATCCAACAATCAACACACTCACAATTACTACTGAAGAACTAGGTGACTTCAATCACGTTCTCGATCTTGTGACATTCACTACTCACTCAATTCAATAAAACAATTTTTTTTTTTTCTCAGAAGTCATTGAAAAACTTTGTAACGGCTCAATCAAGAAATTGGAATAGGAGCTGCACAGTGCAATTCAAATAACTATCATCAGTCAAAACTAGTGGACTTGTTTTGATTTTAAAGACAAACTGATAATTCCAAAAAATAACCAAATTAAGTCACTTAACTCTGACTCTTCGAGTTATCATCCAAGGTCGTGGATCATTGAATTATTGAAAGAAAACGATCAGTGAGAAAATATTGCAACAGAAAACGGTTGTTCCCTTCTCAATGGACAATGAATCACACACATATTCACTGTCAAAAATTTCATTGTAATTAAAAAGGATTAAATAAAGATTTGATTTGCTTGAATAATTGATAGTGAAATGTTGTTTAAATTTAATGATATATAGAAAAGTATTTAAAATTGTTTTTCTTAAAAAATCATTGTAATTAAAAAGGATTAAATAAAATTTGATTCAAATAAAAGTAAGCAAACAGCATATTAACAAAGAATGAGAAATAAGAATAGTCATTAAGAATCGAAAGCGTGTAGATTTAAAAAAAAAAAAAAATCAATTTTCTGAAAGTGCTTTTATCTTTTTAAAAGAAAATGCAATTTTGAATGTTCAATATAATAATCTTATTATATTATGAAATAGATATGTCGATTATATTTGTGGTGTTTTCATGGATATCGATAAAAAGATCGTCAAGGTAAATGAATTGATCATGAAATAAAAAAAAAAAATCAAAAAATCTCTTCCCGTGTGGATCGAACACACGACTTCCAGATTAACAGTCTGACACTCTAACCAACTGAGTTAGGGAAGAAGTCTATTAACATTTTACTTCTTTTTTTAATCTATATCTAATGTTTTCATTAAATATGAAAATTGATAAAAAAGTAGAATCTTAATTTTCAATCAAGAAATTAATGTGCATTCAAAATTAGATAATCAATCATTATTAAAATGTTATTGATATTCAATTCATGATGTTCTCAGAGAATGACATCAAACAAAATATCAAATATTAATTCAAAAAACGAGCAAGATGAAGATAGGATTCCAAAAGCCGAAATAAATACAAATAAGAAATCATTTTCACTTTTACAATTTGATTCAAGTAATTAAATAAAATCAACACTTGAATTTGAACAAAATTTTAAGCATTGGATTTGAATCAGATAAAATATTTGAATGATAAAAATAGAAAGTAATTGTATTTTTTTTCATGATTCAGAAAACATTTTTTTTTTTTTGGTATAAATATTTTGTATATTATTCATCACATAAATGAGTTCTTGTGATGGATGAAAAAAAAAAAACAGTCACTCAGAATTTTGAATAAAAATTTTTCCAAAAATGTAAATAATTCAAAAATAAAAGATTTGGAAAAAAATTGAATATTTAAATTTTTATTTTGATAAGAAATTTATGGTTTTTGAATGTTTATCTCTCATTTTAATATTTTTGATTTATTCAATATTAAGAATAATATTTCATATCACTTTATTATATGTTTGTTTATCAAACTCCTGTATCTTCTTTAAATAGAATTTTATCAAATGATGAAAGTGGAGATTTCAAAATTATCATTCAAATCAAATATTCAAAAGAAGAAAATGGTGCCACAATTCAAAAACAAAAACAAATCATATTCAAAACAACAGTTAATAATGCACGTATCATATCAAAAGTAATCAATGATAAATATCAAAAAGATCAAAATATCAAAGAATATGTTTTCAATGTGTCAAAATTGGAAGAAATTAAAATTGAAGATATCATTGAGATTGTTTCAACATTGATCAAAGAAAGAGGAAATCAAAACATTCAAATAAATCAACGAGATAAAAGAAACATTTATGATCGAATAATGACAATTCTTGACAACGAAGAAGAAACGGTTGTTGAATATAATATCATCGAATGTCATTATTCAGAAGATAACAAATTTTCAGGAATCATAACTTATCTCCTCAATAAAAATGATGGAAACGATGAAGACTTGAAACTGACAGGAGGAGGAGGAAAAAGTGGTTATGGTTACAATGATGTTTCAAATTTATTATTATTGAGTGTTTATGATTTCGATAAAGGATATATGAATACCGTTTACGATAGAAGATATGCATTCATTGAATATGACTTTGGAGAAAGAAAAATCGATATGACATCTTACACTATCAGAGCATTAGGAAGATCCCAATATCAAGGTCAACCAAAAACATGGAAGTTCATGGGATCGAATGATCACGAAAAATGGGAAATGATCGACCTTAGAGAGAATGAAGACGAATTAAACAAAGGCAATTTTGTTGGTCATTTCGAATGTGTAAGAAAAGGTAAATTCTACAGATACATCAAATATATTCAATGGGACAACTGGTATGCATATAACCTTTATGGCCGTTACAAGTGTTACAGGTATTTCATCGCAATCTCGGCCATCGAATTCTTTGGATCAATCTCATTCCCATGTGAAGTGTGAAATGTGAAGTATAAATAAACAAGCGGTAGAAAAAAATTTAATATATTTAGTGCACGCTTTTTTATGTTATTTTTTTGTGATTCTTCTTTATATTCAGATGAATTTTATACTAGTTAAAATTACATATACATTTTGGCTTGGTCAAGCCAAAATGCTGAGATTATAATGAGAATAATGATGATTATCAAAAAGTATATCTGTTATATTGATTGATTGTTGTAAAAATAATGTTTTTAAAAAGTTCATTATGCCTCTTTAAAAAGTTTATTACGTGGTAGAGCGAACATCGAACAGTTGTACCAATATTGAAGACCAAATATTTATTTAATTTCATTTTATTATCATAATTACGCACAAAATAATCATTTTATGTATCAGACCAAATATTAATTCAATTTTTTCATTTTATCTTACAAATGACGCAGCCTTTGTCACGCGATAAGAGCGGTTTGTAACCTCTTTTTTTACACAAGCTGTAGACGAGGGGCCTCAGTATTGGTATGTTTCCCTGCGAGTGCCGCCCTCTTCCCGTTATGAAGTGAATTTCGCGTATGCCTCCTCGCTCCGCGTCCTCCAGTGCACGATACACTTTTTCATGCACATTGACTGCATTTTCGCCATGAAGGTCAATTTCTCTAATTTCCAAATTTTCACTTTTTGAGTGTCTCTGGGGCATCCTGTTTGTCCTCTTCATTCCGAAGCTCGTCTTCTTAGACGACCGTTTATTCATGTCTCTATAAAAATTGTCATCTTCATCGTCTTCCTCTTTCAATTCCTTCTTCGTCTTGCGTGCGCGATGCTCCTTTCCTTGCTCCTCTTCTTTGCGCAGAAGAGCGGAGAGAAGCTCGCCTTCAGGCTGCGGCTTCTTGCTCATTCTGTTTTCCATCAATTTGGATGCAATTTCTGTGTCATTTTGTGATAGCGAGAGAACTTCACGGAGATCAGTTTGTGAGGCATACGGGAACTTTTTCAATAGCTCAAACATCACTTCTGAAGAATTCAATTCATTTTCATCGTCATTGTCATTATTTTGAGTGCCCTCTGAATCGTTCTCATCGTCGCTGGAAAACCGTTTTTTATTTGCTTCAAGCTGCTCAAGAAGATCGTCTTCTGGCTGCGGATTCTTGCTCATTCTGTTGTCCATCAGCTTCGATGCAATTTCTGTGTCATTTTGTGATAGCAAGAGAACTTCACAGAGGTCAGTTTGTGAGGCATACGGGAACTTTTTCAATAGCTCAAACATCTCTTCGGAAGGATTCATAAAACCATCATCTTTTTGCGACTGTTGGTTGGATTTGCTTTGATTTTCTGTAGATTTAATGGATGGAATTGTCTTCTTTTTGATTTTCTTTGCCTTTTTTGTGGCTTGTGTGTAAGACATTGGAAGATTATCAGTAATTATTTGCTTTTTCTTTTTCGCTTTTTTATCAGGAGTCGGATTCATTGATGATCGATTTACATTATCAAAATAGACAACTCCTGATGCTTCATTGTTAGATCTTTCATATTGAAGATAAAGTTGAATAATAGCAAAGGCTTCTTTTTTGGCCTTTTCTATGTCATAATCTGAATCTTCAAGAAAAATTAAACAGTCTTCTTCATCAAAATCCGGATATTCGTTTTGAATTTCTAATATCATTTGATCTTTAACATTTGAAGAAATTGATTCAGAATCAGAATAATAATAAGAATCGCTATCACTGTTGTCATTTTGATCATTTGAATTATCGTTTTGATTGCCTGTATCATCATTTTGTGGATAATATAATTGCATCAATTCGACTACTTCATCGAAGCTGTAGTCTCGGAGATATGTAGAAAATACGTCTTGGAAAATGTGAGGAAACATAACTGATAAAGTATCCACTGTTTCTTGATTTACGGCTCTTTGATCACTCATCAAAATTTTATTATTTCAAAAAGTTAATTTTTATAACGTGCTTTTTTAAAATATCAAAATACATAGCCAATACAGATTCCTTGATTGAAATCACGTAAAATAAACCATTTCTACATTCATATTATACTATTTGATATGCCACTATGTTTTATTTAGTTCTAATTGAATTTCAATTCTCAAAGATATATTCTTCTATTTGATATTTAATAATAATTAACATGAGTCCAGCGTAGTTTAATGGCTAGAACATTTGGTTTACACCCAAGAAATCGGAGTTCGATTCTCCGCGTCGGAATTTTTTTGACTTTTTTTTTAAATTTTCAATAATTTCTTTCTTAAAAGCATAATTCTAATTAGCCAATAATTCTTTTTATTAATTGTTTTTTTTTTCATTTTCTATTTGGGAAGCAAAGAAATGAATTAGAAATAACTTCCAAATAGATCAAAATGGCCACCCCAGTTTGGTCCTGTTTGAACGAGTCTCACAAACTTTGTTAGTGGGCTTGGCTGCTAAAATTCATAAATGTTTTCATGTTCGTTTTCACTTTTTTCGTTGATTTCAATCAAAGTTGTCCATGCTGATTCTGGATTGCTTGAATCGTCGGTACAAATCAATTTGTAGCTTTTCAGCTTGCTTGAATTATTCTTTTTAAGCCTGAAGCCATAAAGGATAGCGACTCCTTTTGTCAATTCAACCTGGAACCAAGAATTTTTGCAAGGATAGGTCCAAGTAATACTTTTTGAATTGATTGAATGAAAACGGTTGTGATCATACCATTTTGCAGAGATGATTACTGGACACCTGCGTGGATCATTGTTCTCACTTTCAGCAACGAGTGCTGCAAAGACTCCTTTTGAATATTTATCTTCTGGTGACAAAAGGAATTGAATACCTGGACCATCAAGGCTCAAATCAACAGAGAAAAATCTGCCAAATGAATTAAGAGACGCAGATTTATCTGGCCTTTTTTCTTTCTTCAACAATGAAAGTTCTCTTTGAAGGGATGAAATTTTATCTGCTTGCTCGCTGACTTTCTTTTCCATGGCTTCTTTATTTCTTCGTTCCCTCTCGCAGACGCTTCTTCTTTGATTTCGTCGACGTAGTCGAGTAACTCATCGTTGTCAATGTCTTCGAGGCAGAACTTCTAGCACAGACATGATTCATCGTCATCTTCATCGTCAGAAATGATTTTTGGTTCTTCATAATTCCCTTCAAATTCTAAGAAGTGGTCTTCATTTGAAAGACTCAACTTTTTGAATAGTTCATCAAATGTTGGCCTTCAATCATTTGCTGAAGGCCTTTTTTAATCGGAAAGTCAATCTCTGGATGCAGTCCCTTCAGTATTTTCTGCTTCATCTGGAATTCATTCAGCTTCTTCTTGCCGTGGAGGAGGCTGTCGTATGCGCGTTTCCCGCCAATTACTTCGTATATCTTTGCATCAATTTGCACTTTATAAAATTAAATAATCAATATTAGTTTTAATATTATTGATTTTTAATGAGTATACATCAAAATATCGATAGTTTAAGATTATAATAAAATTAATGTTTTACATGATTTTAAAAATAACAAACCTCGCAAATAAATCTGTATCTATAATTAATCGCTTTTATTCAAAGCTCGTTTTTTGGGTCGTTAATTAATCCATTACTTTTATATTTTTTACAATATCAATCACACGTTTTCCACTTTCGATATCTTTACAATTACTTTCCCATACTTTTTTCTGATCATAATCACCCATTAGACAGTACCACATATCATTGAAATAATAATGTATAAAACCTTCTTTAGATGCGGTCCAACTATCATCTACTTCATCAGAAATTCCTATAATAAAATGATACCCTCTTACCCCGGTATTATGCACAAGCCTTAATTCTTCCATTAGTTTAAATATTTGAATACATCATTCAAAAAGTTGATTTTGATATTGTTAAAAATCATCAATGAAATTTAAATTTTTATGCTGTTGTAATTGGGCTAGATTATCCAACTGACAAAAACAATAAAAATAAAAAAAGTATCACAAATCTAAACTTATGATCAAAATATCAAAAAAGTATCACAAATCTTTTTTTTGCTGTTTTCATTTTGATTAACCGAACCTTCTCGAGCAGGTAAATACATATCACAATATTAACAAAAAATCTTTGTGAAAAATATCTTTTAATTTTAAAAAATCTTTTTTGGAAAAAAAAAGTGGTAACACTTTTTATTTCGCAGCCACTTTTTATAAACTACTGTATTTGTTCATCAGTAACTCCTATTCGAAAGAAAACTTAAGGTAAATGAATTTCTTCTTCTGTAACATTAATTGAAATTATATTTCTTTTCAATTATTCACTTTTTGACGGTTATTTCTTCCATTTTCTTGTACAAGGACAAAAAAAATTAGAAAAATATTTTTACTAATTTTGGGTTGAACTAGTTGTGCGACAGGATTAGTCAAAATCTGCAATTCATGTTCAAAAGAAGCTGACATATGCTTAATGAACTTCGGCGTATAATAGTTGATTTTAATCATTCCATTTTTTAAGGATTCCTTTAAAAACATAATGCTTTATTATAATTCAATGTTTATTTAATCAATAATTCAGCTTTCATTTATATTGGAGTGGTGTCAATATTGAAGAAATCGGAAATATTCTTGCTTAATTTCTTTATCGAATTTGGCTTCTCGAATTGCTCCAACTTTGGACAGTTTTCGAATGAATTGAATTCAAGTTGCTCAATTTTTGGAGGCTCTTCAAAAGTGACAGTTTTCAAATTGGCGCATGAAGAGAACGACGACTTGCCGATCATTTTCACAGTGTTTGGAATCGAAACATTGACAATAGAATCGCAGAAGGCAAATGCAAAGTCGTCAATGACTTCCAACTGGCACTTTTCATTGGATCTAAGTGAAAGAGATTTCATTTGGACGCAGTTGCTGAAAGCGTATTTTCCGATGCGCTTGACATCAGGCGGAATCTCCACTTTTTCAATGTTCTTCCTAGCAAAGATGATAGACAAGTCTCCTTTGTTTTTAGTCATCAAAAAGTCGCCTTCATCGCCGATCAAAACGTACCTTTCATTGGCCTTTGAAAGGTCAATTCTATTCAATTTTGTAGCATTAAAGCAGAAGCCTTCTTCGATCTGGTCGACTTTCGATGGGATGAACAACTTTTCAATAGGTGTTTTTGAGAAGACAAAACTGCCGATGAACTGAAGTTCTGAATTTTCTTCAATGGTCACTTCACTTAACTTTTCACATGAATCGAAAGCAGATTCGCCTAGCTTTTTGACACTCGACGGGAGGATGAACTTTGTCAAGCTCGTGCAGTTGTTAAAGGCACTTTTGCCGATCATTTCAATGGTCGATTTAGGTGAAAAAGTGAAAGACGATAGGCTTGTGCAAGAACGAAAAGCAGAGCCATGAATCTGGCGCAATGATGGTGGTGCTTCAAAGTGGACAAGTGAGCAACAACCGTCAAATGCCTCAATTCCGATTTCTTCAAGTTGTGAATTCAAAACAGGCGAAGTGAACGATATCTCTTTCAAATTTTTGCATGATTTGAATGCACCCTGGCCGATGCTTTTAACAGCGCACGGGACAATGAACGATTCGAGACTGGAACAGTAAGAAAAGGCAAATTTAGAAATTTTTTCTAAATTGACCTTTTTTTCACCTTCACCAAACTTTTTGAATACAACCGTTTTTAATGAAGTGCAGGATTCGAATGCAAATTCACCGATACATGAAACTTCGCACGGAATCGAAACTTCTGTCAAGCTCTGGCAGTATGAGAATGCGTATTTTCCAATTGTTTCAAGTTTTTCTGATTCAATTTTGACAACTTTTAGCTTGGTGCAAGTGTGGAAGCATGAGGCACCCATTATTTTCACTGACGATGGGATTGCGATTTCAGTGAGGCTCTCACAGCCTGAGAAGGCGTTGTCGTCGATGACTTCAAGAACTGAAAAACCTTGTGGACAAAGAAAAGTGACATTTTTAAGGTTTTTACAAGAGCTAAAGGCGAATTTTCCAACCCTTTTGATGACATTGGACGGAATTTCAATTCGTTCTAAGCTGACGCACTCAGAGAAGGAATGATCATCAATCGCATCAATTATTGATTTCGATGAAAAAGTGACAGTGGTCAGTTTGTGGCATGTTTGGAAGGCATAAACACCAATTTTATTAATCGTGGATGGTATTGAAAAAGTTTCAATGTTTCTCCTAACAAAAATTAATTCAGTACCATTTGATTCTTCTTTTGTCGTTAGGTAATCACCATTAAACGAGGCGTATTTTTTGTTGTTTGGGCAAACTTCGATTAAATTTAAGTTGGGAGCTCCACTACAGAAACCATCAACTAATTCTTCAGTACTTGAAGGAATGAAAATCTTTTCTATTGGAGTATGAAAGAAGGCTAATTTACATATCTTTTGAAGCTTGGAATCCTTTGGAATCGTTATTGTTTTTAGCTTTTTACAGGCATTGAAACATCTTTCACCAATTTGAACAATACTTGATGGTAATGCAATTTCTTCGAGATTTGAACACTCATTAAAAGCAAAGTTGCATAATTCAGTTACATTAGAGCCTGTAAATGTAACTGATTTAAGATTTTGGCAAAAATCAAATGAATATTGTCCTATTTTTGAAACAATATTGGGTATTGAAGCATTTTCTATGTTTCTTCTAGCAAAGAGAAGAACTTTTTGAGTATCATCACCTTGTCTAACTAAGAATTCGTTATTAATAGATACAAAATTTTTATTTTGTGATGAAACTTCAACATGAAACAAATTTTTGGCACCTGAACAAAAACCATCTTCAATATTGCTAACTTTTGCAGGAATTGAAAGCTTTTCAAGTGAAGAATGAGAAAACGCTCCTTTTCGAATTACTTGTAAATCTGAGTCATCAGCAAATACAATTGAATTAACATATTCATTATCAACAAAAGCACGATTTGAAATAGTAGTAATTGGAACTTTTTTACCTTTGTTTTCGACAAATCTTGGAATAAAAATATTATCTCTTGCGTTCGGTGATTCAGCAATTATTCCTTCCGTATTTTCATCATTTATTTTAATAACAACACCGTTTTGAAGCTCGACTGTCATTTATATCAACAAAATAAATAAAATAAACAATTCAAATCATGATTATTTTATTCAATTTAATTCATTCCGCCGATTATTTTTTTCAAATTAATTCAAATGACTTTTGAATATAAAAACGCTATTTCTAAAGAATTTATCCTGCATTTAAATAATTCAATATCTTAATTTTAAATATATAA